AAGGAAGAAGTGCAATAACAGTAACGCGACAGCAAAACAGCTTCCTTTTCTTCATTATTTCGACATTGCCTGCTTCTAATTTCCTAATTATTTCAGCAGGAAAGTCTTAAAAAAACAAACACGTTACCTTTTTTGGTTCCGGTTGTTTCATAACAAAATCGATCACCTTTCTCAAGGATGCCTCGTAGTTTTTTATGTTCGTGTACTCATATCTTAATAGTTCCATTTAACTACAAAGATTCCAGGATATATGAGAACTCTTACGTCAACATTATATCACCGTATCGGTAAAACAAGTCCCCAATGAATAGTCTTTTATCGCTTCCGTACCACAACACAAGACTGTCTGGCGTGTGTCCTGGAGTCCATATAACCTGCAATTCACGTTATGATGACAAAGGATGATAACCTTTTCTTTTTCCTACATACATTTTCCCAGACTTGACTTATCTCCAACTCTTCAAAGGCTATTAATATGAACTTAATTTGCACTCTTTGCATTCGCCAAGAAGAATTCTTCGTCATTAACATTGATGCTAGGAAAATTTATTGGTTTAGAGCATTTTTACCCTGGTACTTTATTCCGCATTTATAATTTTAAATTTTGCATTTCGCAATTATGCAGGAAAAGGAAATTTATCAGCCTTTCTCTTGTTTTGCTGCGTGAAGAAAGCTAGAGAGCAAGTTTATTTGATGTTCTAGAAATTCTCCACTTGCTGAAAAGAATTTGTTAAAGTTCGGGAAAGGTGAGAAATAAGGAGTATTTAGAGCGCTCAGTCCTCATCTTTTTACGGAAGCTATCTTGTCTGTTTATGTATGGTGCAGCAACGCTTGCTTAAACGGTAAATATTCTTCACTTTTCATGAGCTCTAAAGAATCAAAACAATGCAAAAGAATTGCGTGATATGAATCCGCAAATGATTATCCAAACCCATACATAATAGGATATACGACGCAACATATTTTGTGAGATGTGATCTCCACAGCAGAAGTAGAAAATGCGCAAATGCAAATGATAATATCTCTTTGAGTAGCTACAGTGTCGTATTGGATTGGTAGGTAAGTTTGTCCGTTTTTTAATACTCAAGAGATATGTTTCGAAAGAATAAAGGCATAGAAGCTGATTTACTCATTGATTTTGGCTGCTTTGTCTAATTAAAAGTTAGAAAATAAGAATTCAGAAGAACAAAAAAAGCAACCAACAGCTTGATTATTTAAATACGAAAATTCGAGAATGCAATAATTTTTCTTAAATGTAACTGGACCTGCTGAGTAGAAAACATACGTATTTTAGGATCTTACTGTGAAATTGAAGGTGCAGGGTCAAAACTGGTTTGATTGGGAAGTTGTGTACTGGAAGCAGTTGAAATGCTGGTCGAAAATCTTGATTACTCCCCACAATCAGCCTTTTTTGTAAGATAGGGTTTATACGATAAAGAGGTCAGTGTTACTGATCTACTTGAAAAGAAATCTTTAAGTGATTTGGTGTTTTCTGTGCGAAATTGCTTGAGAAATGACTTGAATTTGTACAGACAAGTGAATGATTCTGACCTTTAAAACATTTATCTACCGTTATTACATTGTAAGGTCAAGCAGAGGAGGGACATGGCTTTTGTATTCAGCATATCCGGTTATCCTACTAGATATCGTTAGAGCAATCGAGCTTCCCCCATTCATTAAGCTACTAATTGAGCCTGTTTTGATCCTCTATTTGATCTTGCATAGAATTATAGAAGCACAATTTCTAAGTTTAGTCACTTCTAATTAAGAAAGCCGAAATCACTGGCTAGGGCATAAAGACTATCTTTTTGACAAGGACTTCTTCTTCCAAATGTTATATAACTTGTTGGCAAAACTTCCATTTTTTGAGTTTGAAAAAAGGAACAAACATGTCCGACAAAACCAATAAATCCCCCACAACAAGGCCCTCACTTGTGACGGGTGTAGTTCGCGCCAGATCCAGGTGCCTTGCACGATCCTGTGTCTCTCAACACATGAACGGGACGTGATATGAAGGGAAATAGCGTGCGAAGAAGAGATCTAGGGCTATTACAAGGTATATGAATCGAGCACACTAATCTCGTAACCTATTGGGGCATTCCCATTACAGACTACGCATTGACTACGCGCAAATCATCAGCTGAAAGAACTTGTATTGCCTGCCAGTTTGAAGGTTTCAGCACTTCTGCCTCCATCTTTTGTGCTTGCTTACAAATACTCTATTCTTATCTGGGGCCTTAATTTGAAAAATTCTGTTTTTTATCTAAAATTTTTCTTTGAAACATCCTCAAAACAACTGGCATTGAATACCGAGTCAAAGGTTATTTATTGGTAAATGGTGACCTTGTTTCCGCTACATCTGAGGCCTTTTCCAATGGCAATAAATTACTGCCTGATTCTTCATATTTTGATGGCCTTACAAATCCACCAAATGATTTATGGATTTATGCCGCGGCAGATCATATGGACTGAACAACACAGCTAAGGTAAAGTGTAAGGTAATATCTTTTAAATCTATCAGATAAACGATAAACGTCAATCTTTTCATCGTGTTTTGCATGTGAATACTCATTAAAAAGGGATCCATATAATTATTACATAGTGCAGAATCTTCTGCAGAAGAGATAGGGTCGCAATAAAGCGAAGGAAATGAGGCGGAGGGGAGGAGAAGAGTAATAATGAGGTGAAGATAAGCGGCGATGATATTTAATCAATTTGGTCC